AGCCCTGCTTTTTTATGATGGATTCTGGGCCAGGAGAAGTGTCCTTTAATCTTTGCCTCCCAAACATCTAACTAGAATGTTTCCTAATCCTTTTAATCTTTCTCTGAAGCCAACGTTTCCTCCCTGGGACGCTTTCGCAAAGGCGAGGAGGAAAAAAAAGGAACAGACTATGTTTCTTGGCCATGGTGCTTCTTGACGCATCGTGGGAGAGCACTTTAATACCATTGGCATCCCATTTGGGAATTAAAGCAGTAATTATGATTCCTCAAACATCAGCTCTGCATGATCTGTCAGGCCTGTACCCAGTCAGCCATAATCAACACAAATAAGCACGTTATTAGCCTGAAGAGGGAAATCAACTACTATTGTCTCAAAACTCAGGTGAAGATGCTGCTTGCAACTTTGGGTAAACCTGAAAAAAGAGCCTGCCTTTCTTCTTAAGACCCCAATAAATTATTTTTTACTTAGGGCAGTGTCTCCAAAATATTTGCATCCTCAGTGTAAGCCTTTTCCACTCATGACCTTTAAAGATTCAGGATATCCCGGGACTTGGGTGGGCATTTTAGGAGCCTCACAATGAGGTGCAATTATAAAGCCTTTAGTTTTGATTGTAACTGAAAAGACGGGTGAAAACAACAAAAAGTCATATAACCTCCCAAGATTCCTTCACAACTGCTACAGAAGATTTAAAGCAGTTTATCTCAATGCTTCCAGAATGGTTTTCTAGCTTTAACAAAATAAATCAAAATGTTTAACAGCTTAAAATCATTACTGCAACATTGCTTATTTGTGCCAGAGGGATTTGTTTTTTGAACATTGCGATCCTGCCAATGAAGGCATTCTAGAATTAATGATTTTTACCCCAAAATCAGTCAGTGAACAAGATTAAAACCAGCAAATTTGGGCACACTTGTACTTTACATGCTGGGACCCAAGAGAGAAGGAATATGCAGCTGTTTTTTTCACATCCCTCTTAAGAAATGGAGGCATGTCTACAAAATCCATGTACCACCCATCAATTCAGTCCTTCCAGCTCTCAATTTATGAAACTACTTTTCTATCAGATAGTGCCAAACACCATAGAACAGATTAAAATAACATACAGGAATCTAACATCCGAAGTTTCAGATAATGAGAACACTTAATGCAATCTACGAATTCAAAAGTATCCGATTAAAATGTATTATTTGGGGCGTGTTGAACAGGTGATAGATTAAGTAGACCCATAAAAACTGGTTTGTGGTCACCCAGACTGTAAAAGGAAATGTTACCTTAACACAGTGAAATGTCTGGGCAGCAGCTGCAGATTAAGACAGCAAATATCTGCAGGGCAAGGCGCGCTTGTCTGCTGGAGACATGCTGGGGGAGTGGGTCCTGTTGTGTCTGTGAGAAGGAAAACAAACTGTGGACTGGGGGCTGCTGGCTCTCCAGCCCCTCTCCTTCTTGACAT